GTAAAGGAATGTAAGGAATCACATAGGATGTAAAATCTGATCCCACAGTCACTGAAGTCAATTTATGGAATTTTGTCATTGAGTTCAGTAGCAGTAGGTCTAAGCGCAACTCTGAATCCACCTTTGATGCAGAGGAGAGAGTCAGGGAGATACATTCTGCCCAGAGGAGACAACAAAAAAGAGTGCTGAGAAAAAACTGTGATCCTTTTCACAATATAGATGGCCTTAGTAGGTCTTGACACAGCGAAAGTAGTAGAGGATTTATCACTGAATACAACTTTCCCATTCATTCTGCAAAGTGGGGTGGCCTGACCCCAGAATCAAGTTACCACTCTTTCACTAGGATGGTGGGGAGATAGGAACCTCTATCTTGTTGGGTTTTTTCCTTCCATACATTTTCCCTTTTTAAACTTTGTTCTTCAGAGCTACTTTGTCTTCCTTTAAGTGTTTTACTTAACTGTGCTATGCCTGTTTGGTGTACAGTAAAATACAGAGGAAAATATTTCTATCTGTTCATTTTACATTTGCTATTAAGATACTTTAAATGAATGACTTGCCCCTTGAGGTTAGATGGGAGTGAAAAAGAGAGAACACAAGAGGAAATTCTCATACTCTTGATACTGAAATCTTGCCAGGGGCTATTATAAGTGATAGATTAGATTGAAAAATATTTTTTAAAAACTAACATTTTTTCTTTAGTTTACTTAAGAAAAATTTAAGAAACATAAAAAAGGGTGTTGATAGCAGCACAGAATATAGATATCCCTGAAGAAAAACACCTGACCCTGGGCTCAGTCCACATGCCCATGACGCCTGATTTTTAACAAACAACAACAAAAAAGGTGTGCACAGTTTTCCACAATTCAAAAATTATCCATCATTAATAGATTTCTTGTGCATAATTTCTGTCACCAGCACTCATTTTTCTCAAGCAAGAATCAACTGTGTAAACACGTACTATTTAATTTTAAGAAATATTTCATATAACCCAATATAACATGGAAAACATTTAAAATGCATAGCTTGTAACAAATCTCATAGATACATAAGCATAGATAATTAGGCGTGACGGTATATAGTTAACCTAAATAATTTTGCATTCTACATACATCCCCAGATATTGGTTAGTATCAGTGTGTGCATAAGAAGGAGAGCCAGAGACCCCATCACAGCAATCACCAATTTTTTTAAACAGTTTGGTATAAAGAAAGCTATGTTGTGACTATCACAAATTCCTCTTAGGAAATACTGTAATAAATTCATATATTTCTTGTTTCAAAACTATGCTCTTTTATAATAGTGATATTTTAAAATATAATTATTATCACAGCCTGTTGGGAGTAAGTAAATACTTTACATCAGTTGAGTCAGACATGCCTCTTAATTCTATGGTTTTCAAATCAACACAACTTCATTCAGAAGTTAGGAAGAAGTTTCCCTCTGTAGGGATACTTTTCTAATCTGACAACAAAAGTTTTCAGTAGAACCAGAGTCAAACATCTATTCTGGGAAAAATACCATAACAATGACAAAACCAACATTTTTTTGGACCTAGGGAAGGAAAAATATCCAGTAATGCATCTTGCTCTAATGAAACAGAACTTGAAAACATTTAATACAAAAATTCTGAAATGTATACGGCATGCCATAGCAGTAGTCAAGCTTATTTTTGAATTTTAAATTATTTTAATCCATAAATATAGTCAACAAAATACTGTGTAGTTATCATCCCATCAACGGTTTAAAAGCAATCCACCTGAAAATGCTGTACATACATAAGGTAATCCTTATATGATCAGTACAGATTTCCATTTGTTAGATGTAATGAATGAAAGATGGGATGTATTTAGATCAAATAGCACCATCTAGCAGTCCCCCATAATTTCACGTAGGAGGGTAGTTATTGCTTGGTGAAAGCTCAGTTTGGCAGGCCTCACTTGTAGAATATTAAGAATATTTATACTGCACATTAAAGTAGTGTGGTCTTATTGGTACAAAACTTTGGAGGAAAATAAAGTAGAGAGAAAAAGATATATATAAATTTTACAGTTTCAGCCTTAAGATAAAAAAAAAAACAATACTGTAAAAACTTCATGATGCAAGCCATTCAGGAAACAAAACTAAACTAAATCTACAATCTACCATTCTGAAAGTCAGATTCATCTGAGCGTCCCCTTGTAGGTTCAACAGAAAAATAATATTAGTTGGATTTTAATGTTTTGCAAAGTGGATGACACACAGTAGTAAGTACCAGGCACAAAACAGCTGAAATTTTACAATTTTTCTATACACAAAGAAAGCAATGTTTGTCCTGATAATTTAACTTTAAAAAAATATTTTTGTAAGAGAACCAACAGTTAACTAGTCTCTTTAAGTTCTGTCTCCAACCCGCACTCCAGCAATTAGCATTTATTTTCAATAATTTCCTGTGCCTTTGTACAATTCCCTATTACAAAAGTTATACATATAGTTCCCAAAAGTCATACAATAACAGTGCTTAAAATCTCTTCAAGCATCTTCCTCTCCTTGTGTCTTTCAGAAAAGATGCCTGGTCTGCTACTGCTCTAGGAAGTGTGTTTATGCCAGCCTCTGGAATTAGGAAGTGCTACTCCTCTTTAAAATGCTTGCAACAAGGAAAACTTTTAGGTGAAGGTTCAAGACAAACTGCCTGAAGAAAAACTCAGCAGTCATGCCTGGACTATCCATTTTCATGTGAAATGCAATTCTGTATGGTGGGAGGGGGGGGATGCAATGTCATTAGTGCACAAGATATATACAAATAATTTTTCTTAATGGAGGTCCTCTAACCCCCCTCAACAGCTTTATCCTGAGCTTTCACAGGCTGCAACAAACAGACTGAATGGTCCTGGTCAGAAGAACTGAAGCCAACTACTATACACTTCCTTCTCCCCCTCAGCTGCACTTAGCAGCTTAGCCCATAACGCAAGGGGCTCTTCCTCCTCCTTCTGAGTAAACACCTCCTGTCTGTGCTTCACCAATCTCAATAATGCAAGAACAGCAAACTTAAAGGGACACCATCAACTTGAAAGTCAAATTTCTGTCTCAGCATGCTGTACCTACTACAATTGCAAGTAATATCTAACAATACCATTACTGAAGGAGGCTACCCAAATCACTTTATTTCTCCATATTTTTCCAGTTTATTTATTTTGTGCATTTGGTTATGCTATAAATAGTTAGTTTCACTGTTTCCCCTGTACACTTAGTTTCTTCCTCTCTGAAAAGATATTTGTAAACATAAACAAGTGAACAGAAGCATAGCTGTACCATTTATTTTAAAGAATGTTTTTTTAAAAGATCAAGATATGATATTTAAAGGCGCATCTCAAAAAATTTAATATTAGTCAATTTAAGTTCTTGGTGCC